GGACGAATGCATGAACTTTTTTCCTCGTACCCATTCTACCTAAAAGGAAGAAAACAGCAAAATTTTCAGTAGACATCATCAAACGACAATTAGAGGGAGGAGGAGCCATTCATTAAGAGCAGAAAAGAGTGATGTGCAGGCCATGTTCCCATCCCAATGGGGCCAGTCTTCCTTTTCGCCCCTTGGCATTTCAGGGAGCAGTCTACCCACAGGGCACTGCTCAATAAGTACGTGTACTCCCAACTTTACCGGCCGCCTCATCGTTTTCCAGCAATGACCCCCCAAGGGACCAAAATATGAAGCAAAGACTGCTCCCTTTGTGGCCTAATCTAAGTGGTGGTTTCTAGAAATGTTCTCTTATTCTTCTTACGCTTTGCCTCATTCACTGTATTTTCCTTGAAAATACTTACTATGAAAGGCCTTAAAACTAATCCTTTTCTTCATTAGCATGCCTCACTTCAGATGCAGCACCTCCTCCTCTACCTCCATCAGACTAAGATCAGAAAAAGATTTGCCCTCCATCAGACTAAGATCAGAAAAAGATTTGCTAGAAGCCTATTTAATCTAGCCCATACATATATTCTTTCTTCTCTGGCACTCCATTGAGAGAAAAATCACAGAGTCCCCTACCTCCTCTCTCTCTCCTAAAATCTAATTATATTCTCATTGTTTTCTTTCAGGTAGACACACATATGTTTGTTTTCCTTCATTCATAAGATCACAAATAATTACTATGAATCATAAAATGTTACGATAAATGTTTGATGTGGCTTCATGGAATAGGATGAATAGGACACTTATAGAAAAAATTGACAGGGACGTGATTTAGGCAAATGACCTTCCTAGTGTGCAGAGTTGTCCTATAATGGACAAGATTTTCTCAAGGAAGGACCATAAACACCATAAACTGTGAAGCACACTTAAGATGTCAAGTGGCAGAGATGCTACAAAAGGAGTTAGTTACATCAACTGGAGAGTTAATTGATCGCCAAGATCCTGTTCAACTAAGGTATAAACATTTTTAAAAGTTGAATTGTACAACCCTCCCAATAATAACTCAGAAATCTCATTTTTTATTGGATATTAATCTCATTGGTCAAATCACACTGGACAGTGTCTATGAAAAAGTATTTAATACCAGTTAGGCAGTAAATTTTGGTTCCAGTATTGACACAGAGTAGAAAAGCAAATGGGTTATTAAATGAATAATTGCACGGATTTTTATTGCTTTAAGAGGAACTTCAAACTTAACCAGCTCTTTAGGTGCCTCTTATATACCAATGACAAAGGATTAAATACTGAGAGAAAATGTCAAGAGCTCTAAGGAAAGCTAAGTAAAAATCTATTTGTAATTATCAATTGTGTTAAATCTAGTTAAGTCATACTAGGAAACAGGATAAAAGTCTAGAAAAATATACAAAATAACCTCATTGTTCAAAACTATTGGGCAAACTAACATAATACAATTTTAAATTGTTCCAAGATGAAGTATTTTCTAATTCTACATACAAATTTTTCTAAGATCAATCTGTTATTTTTTCTTTCCTCCTTTTTGCATTTTAAAAATAATTTGAACAATATCATCAAGTAGTTTATGGTCACGTAGTCCTAAGACTGGGCTCTGAAATTTCAATAATTTCACTTTTAGAGAACCATGAATATAAAGAATGCTAACAACTCATTTAGAGTTAATGCTCCACAATGTACAAAACGGACTTTGAACAGAGACAAGGGTGGAGGAGAATGTCTGGGTTGTGATACGCTTCTCTTTTGATCCCATCAGTTTTATCAGAAACGAGGCATTTGCCCCTAAAATAACCTGTACTTTCATGAGGCAGGGGAGAGGAGTTGAGGCTAAAGAAAACTCCTTGATACTTTTGAAAAAGACAACTGACAAACGAATTTACTGAATTTATGAAGAGTTAGGGAAACATGAGGCATAAGGAGCTGATTCCATTTCATCTTCAAATGGGAAAAAAGCAGTATCAACAGTTATTAAGGAAAAAATAGCTTGCCTGGGCTATTGCAAAGCACTCTAACAAATAAACAGAATGTTTAATATTGTTAAAAAGCTAATTTTCAAGACCTTTACTGGAAAGGAAAAGTCAGGTTTAACAGGGATTTCTTCTTTTAAATATAATTATTGCACTTTTTAAAAAAGCACATTAAATGTCAACATTTTACATGTATTATTTAAGAACGGTACAATGCGTGTTGCCTGATAAAAATGATTCCGTGTTTTTAAAATATGAATGTTCCTCCACATTTCTAGACACAACTTGAGTTGACCACTTGATTTCCTCTTACAATTATATTAACTATCATCAAGTGGCAGTAAGTATCTCTATAGAAGCAAGTTAAATAGAGACAGACCCTGCTCTTTCGTTTAGTTACAATGATGTGGACATTAAACTCTAACCCCAGTTACAAGCCCTTCACATGTCAAATCAAATAAGCAAACATGTTGCCTTCATATTTGCCTATTGTAGAGTGTGTATCCACTTCCTACATTCTTCAAGCAGTGATTTATGGAAGTCTTTTCCACTATGGGATCATCCAGGGCTTCTCATTTTTAGAAAATTAATCTGAAAGGTATCCAGGTGAGCAAGGATAATGGCTTATCCAATTTCAGTCCTAAAATTTTTGTCTGCAAAATTGAACTCTAGAAACAAAAAGCCATGAATAACTCTAACATGAATCCCAAGTTGAGGAAATTGAAGAGAACCTCTCATTTCTAAGTTCACTTTGATCTAGACTACTGGGAATTTGAGAGTGGAGGGAGGTGTTTTGACTCCAGCAAACACTCTCAATCTCTAAAGCTCTGGGAACCATTCCCCACACCAGTTCTAGGACCCATGGTCCTGCCCAGGATGCCCTCTGAAAGGAACCATGAAGTAAGGCAGCTCTGGGGCAGCTGCCCTCCCAACAGCTCCCACCCACTGACGGCACAAATGCAGCACAGGCCAGCTCCAAGCATCGCCCTCCCCTCAGAGCCTGGCCCTTCTCTGCCCTGCAATTTGCCAACATGCATATGCACATGCAGTCGCCCTATCCCGAAGCCCTCCCCATGCACACGCCCATGGCTCCAGGCACGCCAGGAGCCATACCCCCCCAAGGCAAGCCTTCTCTACTAACTACACCCCTCCTGTGAGTCTGCTACTCAGCAGCGCCTCAATACCCAGATATTTGGGGACCCCATGCCATCTCACACTTACTGAAATGCTTGTTACTGTTCTTACGTCGCATCATTTGAGTGGGTTTCAGCTCCTAAATTAAATTACAAGCTGCGTGAGGAATAGGACTGTGCCTTTTATCTCTTTTGAATCCCCCCTCAATGTCCAGAACAGTGCCCAGCACAGAGCAGGTGCTCAAGAAATGGTGGATGGTGATGGCCGTGGTTGGAAGTCAGAGGGTGGCTGAATCTCCAAATGTGGGTCCATCTTCGGTCACTACTGAGAAAGTCCCAAGGGGCAAATAATATCACTCCCCTTCCACACCATCTCCAGTCCCTCAGCCCACAGCCCTTCTAGGAGGACACTTGGTTTCCAGGCACCACTTGCAAGAAACCACGTTCGGCCCCTCACCGCATCCTCCCTTTTAGTAGGGTCCTTCTCCTTCAGACCTTATGGGGAATGCCCCTCCCTCAGCGGCACTATGCTTACATATTTCTGGTGTAAATAAGCGAATCTCTGAGTGGTCACGAGGAAACCACCCTGCTGAGAGGTTCAAGGTTTCTTCATTTGTTTTAGGGGTGGGAATGAACAGAATTGCTGCCAAGACTCTAAAGGCTTTATAAAAGCAGAGGGCGCATCCGCTGGGACGGTAGGCACCAGTAGGGTCCCTATCTTCCAGCGCTTCTACCCAGACGAGGAGTTCTCATAGGAAATCCTCATAGCCTCCAGAGTGGTAGCAGTATCTGAACCAAAAAAACCAAACCAAACCAAACCAAAACAGGGCCCAAACGCATCCATTCCTGGGCTTAACAAAAGACTCGGATCCAGGCAGAACTGGCCTTTTTTTCTTTTTCTCACCCAATATGCAGTGGACCTGGGGACCATTTCTGTCTCTCTCGAGCGGTTTTCTCATCTGTAAAAGTTTTACAGTAAAGTGAAGGGCTCAGACTGTCGTTCCGGAAGCCTCCTCCAGTTCGAAAACAAGACAAGTGCTGAAGAGCCCAGAAGATCTCTGGCCCCGCGCCTCGCGCCCCGTGAACCTCAGGCGCGACGTAGGACCCTCGTGGGGCTAAAGAACGTTAGCTCTGAAGACCCTAAGCTGCAGCCAGGCTGAAGCCGCCCCCGCGATGCCGCGTCCTTCTCCGCTCGAGTTTCACAGTTCAGCGAGCCAAACCCGGGCACTCCTGGACCGGTGTTCCGATTCCATCCGCTGCAGCCGCCCGGGCGTACACCCACTCTCCACCCTCCCTTCACCTCACCCCGGCGGCGCGTGGCCCCTGCTCACCGCTCCGGGGGCAGCCGCCCTCCCAAAGCGCGACCGCTGCAACTAACGCGACCGGAAAATCGGTTCGCGGGGCTGCGGGGCTGTGTACACAACCGCCATGGCAACGGGCGGCTTCCGGAGGTTCCGGAAGTCTCGGGGTGGTGGCGGAAATGAAGTGCGTGGTCCTCTGTTGAGATACGAGTAAAGTCAGGGCAGAATTGGAAAGACGGAGATGGTACCGATGATGTTAGGAAGACTGAGGCAGGCGCGGGACCCAGGTCGGGGTAGCGAGGGGACGAAGGCTGGCCCCGAACCAGGAAGCGGGGCAGCAGGGCTTCCGGCGCAGAGCAGGCTTTGGCTACGGTGGCCGCGCAGGCCCGTCGGATCCCAGCCCTGCGCCGGAGCTGCAGTCGGC